TTGGGGGTGAAGCTCATCTCAGGTTCGTTGTTGCCACCGAAAAGAAGGTCGCTGTAATGGAGCAAAATTTCTATCTATCTATCTTCTTGCAGAATCCCGCCAGCTACGAGTCACAAGAATATTTTACTATGCAGCGAAGAACCATCCTCGCCAACATGAGGAAGACACTTGCTGATTCACAAGAACGCGGGCAGTTACAACAAAGCGAAGAGCTGGAAACACCTGAGCGTGCGTTCAATACACCACACGTGGCAGGGCTAAACAATGACGAGGGTGAAGAAAGTCAAGTTGCTGACAATCAAACTTTAGTTTAGCTGGGCTTCTGCCGTAGTCTAGTTTGAAACCCTATCAGACAGGATCCAGAGAAAAGTTTTGCTAGCCGAGATCACCGTAGCATTGCCATACATGTTCGACCAAATCCGTTTTTAATTCATAGTGAAGTTCTTCGTCTTCCAGCACTTGCATCGCGTTTGCTATCATTGCGACTGGGCACTCATCTGGTACACCAACTTCTGCCGGGCTGACCCATTCATCTTCGAACAGATACTGATGATTCAGTGAGGGAATTCGCTGCTCGTCTTCCACAATCATGTTGTGGAGGATAATGCAAGCTAGCATCACATCCTTCATTGCATCGACACTCCATAGTTTACAAGGTAGGGCAAGAATTCGAAAGCGTTGTTGTAATACTTCGAAAGTGCGTTCAACGTCCTTGCGAGCAGCTTCCTGTTGGACAGCGTAACACTTACGCTTGTTGCCTTGGGGTGCACTGATACTGGATTGAAAAATTGCCCAGGCAGGATAAATTCCATCTGAATGATAGTATCCCTGATTGTACGTCGCACCATTCACAGTGAAGGAAATTTTGGGGGCAACATCGTTTACCAGGTCATTCAACAAAGGAGATCGCTCGAGTACATTCAAATCGTTGTTGGCGCCAGGCATGTCATCGAATGCATGCCAAATCCATAACGACTTAGAAGCCACTGCTTCCAAGATCACCGTCGAGCACTTCTCTTTTCCCTGAAAAGCTCCTTGCCATGCCGTTGGGCAATTCTTCCATGTCCAGTGCATACAGTCCAAGCTACCAATCATGCCCGGAAAACCGCGTTCAGCATTCTCGACAAGAAGTATTTCCAAGTCATCCTTGGTCGGCTTTCAAAGATACTCTGGACCAAATAACCGGATAATATTGCTGCAGAACAGCTTTAAAGTCTCCAACACTGTGGACTCAGCCATACGAATCAGCTCATCTAATTGATCTGCTGATGCTCCATATGCCAACATCCGTAAAGCACACGTTACCTTCTGTTCTGGTAGGAAACCAGGACGTCCAGTTGCGTCAATGCGCTGGACGAAGTAGCTGCAATCTTCATCCTCAACCAGGGCGATTGTAATGAGCTCAAAAAAGGTCACGACGCATACGTAATCGCCTGCGAAAGGCACCTGCAGTAGCCATGAACATTAATGGTCATTAAAGGAGAACATTTCGTTTACAGAAAATAGCATACCCTCATCGTAGACTGGGTTGTCACCAAAGTAGTCGCTCATTAGACGTTCTCCCCATATTTCTCGATCCCGATCTTTATTTGCTCTCCTGCCTTTGATAGACCCGCCTTGTTTGCCCCGCGCTGCGCTCGTGTTGTCCACCCCTCCCTCAGGTAACATGTAGGGGAAATAGTATTCTTCTTCCGAGTCGTCGTCGTCCATACTTGACGTCACCAGCGCTTCACTCCTTCGTGAGTTTCTGGTAATGCGGTATTTAGAGAGATCTTTTGTGTCGTAGTTTGATTGGACAAAAAAAATGTTAAGTCGCGCTGTGAGTTCCAAACCGCTGTAGACAAGATGCAATCAGGAGTTCTATTCTAAAAATTAAGGTCCCATCCGCCTCAATAGGACTTGCAAATAAGTCTAACCGCTGGAGATGCTCTAAAGTTCATTTCCAATCTCCAGCGACAGTCGATATTCGTCTCGTTCACACCCATACATCTGACCAATCTGTGAATGAAACCCTTGCTAAAAGTTCGCTTGAGCCTACAATAGTTCTGTTGTAGATTCTATGAGATGTGGTACCTCGAATTATTAACCTACGAGTTACAGAAGGAATCCCATCCCGCCGAAAAAAACAATCTTTGCATTGGACACTTTTTTTAAAAGTGTCCAAAACTCAAGTTTTATCTTCTTGCAACGCCACAATACTCTGTTATTGTGCACGTAGGCAGTAGAGCAGTCGCAATACTTTTAAACACAGAGCTTTACCAAGGTAATGTCAGGAATTTTTAAAAAATGAAGTTTTCGTGAAATCAAACACTAAAACTGAAAACCATTATGCATTAGAGGTAATTTTGCTGAGCACGCGGAATGCGTTTTATAGGCTAATTGCACGTATCTCCACAATTGGCTCTGATAGTGAAAGGGTAGGACGAAGAGTTGATATCAATTTGTATCAACACGCGATGAGATTACCTTAAAGTTTCAGAAGATTTATTTCCATAATTTGTGGGAAATTCCGCTAAACTTCCCGCAGCTAAGGATGCCTGCCTATGACACGGATGCCGATCCCAAGATCTCGAATGCGTAGGTTTGAAAAGACACACAATCTCGTGTGGTGTTCCCCATTTCGACGCCACTTCTGGCTTTCTTCAAGTCGGAACGGAAGCCAGCCAAGCGATCGTCCGTCGTTCGCATTAATCTGGTGATGCTGCTCTCTCTCTCTCGGTGAACCAAAGTGTCCGCGCCTCACCATTTCCGAAAAGATGACGAATAGCAACAGAGGGCCAATTGGACTTCCAATACGGCGCGTCCAGAGCCGCAATGCGCTGGCCATGTCGGCCATCCAGGAGGAACGTTCCAGTCTCGATAATGTGCCAATAGCGGTCCCCGTCGCGGATTCGTGCTCCACGTCTCCGACCACTTCATCCTCGGGCTCCGATTCGAGTCCAAGCCAGCAGAGAGTGGCTGGTTCTATTCGATCTCGTCCCGCAGCAAACCGCGATAAACCTTCAACTGCTAAGACTACTGCACGGACGAGCAAGTCTAACACAGCACGATCGCGTTCCATTGCCAAATTTGAGGAAGTCGAAGCAACTACTACTGACACCCCCTCTCAACCGCCTACTAGACCTCTGCGAGCTCAATCGGCTCGAACATGGACTCCATCTTTCGCTGATATGGCTATGCCTACCGTTAAAGGTATCACGTCTGCAGTGGCAAGGCAGATGTATTCAGTAAGATCTCGTTCCAGTGAGGATGACGCGAAGACGTCGAAGACAGCGCAGTCGCCTCCTAAGAAGGCAGCGAAGGCTCGTTCAGTGCGGTCTCGCCCGGTATCCTGTTTTGACGATTCCCTCTTGGACGAGGAAGCGAAGAAAGCAGCGAAGGAAAAAGCACCAGTACCAAAACCTACTAAACCAGCCAAGTCGCTTCGATCGCGTCCCGTTCCTTGCTTTGAAGACCTCCTGTCATCCGGTCCTGCGCCACAGACGAAACCGGAGGGTTGGAAACCCCGTGCAATCGGTACCCGACCAGCCTCAGGCCCCACGTCACGAGCACCTCGATCGAAATCCTCCGCACACTTGTCGTCCTCTCCTTCATCATCGGACGGATCATCGGATGATGGAAAGTTCTCAGTGCGAAGACGAGAATCGAATCCTCCGCCGCGTAAGTTGACACGTCCGAAATCGTCTTCAAACTTGACTGCAGCTGTATCGAAACCAGCCAAGCAGAGTCGAAGCCGCCCCCGATTCCCGTCGGAGGAGGATATCTCGGTTAATCGCCCTCGCGCTTCATCTGACAGCGGTCAAGGGCTAAAAGATGCGCTTAAGCTCAGTGACGAAGACTTCCGTCCACGAGCGTCGTCGTATTCAACGTCAAGCAAGAAAAACATGAAATCTTCATCACGTCCACGCCACTTTGAAGGGAAATTCCAGAATCGACGAGGTCAGTCGCTCTTGTATTTTTCCCTATTCCCACCTGAGAAGCTGGCGATGCGAGGAATTATTCTGCACTTGCACGGTATGGGCGACCACTGTCGACGGAATACTGCACTCTACGAGAGATACTGCCAAGAAGGTTTCGGTGTGATCACCTACGACCTGGTGAACCACGGAGCGAGCGACTACGACCAGTACAACACACGCGCGCACATCAGCAACTTTGACGATTTCGTTGACGACACGAACGATTTCATCAAATTTGCCAAGACAAACATTTACAAGGTCGCTCTAAGGTACTGGAGGAAGCATCACCACCCTCGTCACCCCCACGGAAGGGAGAAAAAGCGCGAGTCACCGCCCGAACTGCCGTTAATCATCACCGGCACGTCGTTCGGAGCTCAAATTGGTCTCCACACGGTACTCTCAGGCCAACACAAATTCCACGCTGGGGTCTGGGCGTCGCCTAGTATTGGAGTCACATGGACTCCGGTGTTGTGGGCTCAGTGGAAGTTTGCCAAGCCGCTGGTTGCCGCGTTCCCGACGGCCAAAATGATCCCTGCCATTCAGCACAACTTGCGAAGTCGAAACCCAGAATTCCTGAAAAAATATCAAGAAGATCCTCTGACCAGCAGCGATATGATCACTCCTCGCAGTGGCCACCAATCGCTCACTGCCATGATTCGACTGCAGCAAGACAAGAGAGTTTCGGACGAGGATTCCTCGTTCTGTGCGATCCCCATGCTGTTCCTTGCTGGATCTGACGATCGCATTTCAGATCAACAGGCTTCGTTCAGGTTTTTCCATCGCATAAGCAATTTGGACAAGTCTTTCAAAGTCTTTGACGGCTTGTACCACATGATCTACGAGGAACCTGAGAAGGAGGAGGTGCTCGAATATCTAGTGGAGTGGCTGCACAAGAGATTCCCACTTGAGACGCGACACCCGAACGATTCTCACTTGAATGTGGTGAAGAAACTGGAGCCGTCGATCCGAAGCTACAACTACGTCAAGACAGAACGTACAGAACTGTGAGGGAAGCATCTAATACTTTTCATTACGAAGATAATAAATCAAAATCATGAACTCTAAAATGTGAGCAATGTGGTCTCCAAAAACTCGTAAAATGCGCTATCAGGGTCCGTGACGAGGTCTTCTGCAGCTCCATACTCAGCAACCGTCCCACCTTGCATCACTATGATTCGGTCGAAGCCCAGAACCTGGTCGAGTCGATGTGTGATGAGAAAGATCGTTGAGTTCACGAACTCCTTCTCAACAACTTCAAGAAGCTTCTTATCGCACTTTTGATCCACAGACGAGAACGCTTCATCCAAGATGAGAACCCGAGCAGGTTTCAGAAGCGATCGCGCCAGCACCAGCATCTGCCGCTCGCCCATGCTCCAGTTTTCTCCATTCTCTGCCAGCCTCATGTCTAGGTTCGTCACGATCACTCGGCTTGTAGCTTGCTCTCCAGTGTAAACCTCTTCTTCGCTAACTTCGCCACCGTCACTAACTGGCCCGGGGGTATCACAGAGACCAGTCTTGACTAGAACTTCCCATAACGCATCGTCATTAAACTCCTTGAACGGGTCTAAGTATCGACGAATAGAGCACCGATAGAACAACGGGGTTTGCGGGATGATACAGATCCGACTACGGATGTCACGCAAATGTAGACGACTGATGTCTACTCCATCGATACGAATCCGACCACGTGGTAAGCTGTGCATTTGCAACATTGCCATGGCAAGCGAGCTCTTGCCGGATCCAGTTCTCCCCACAACGCCAATCTTTTCACCACCAGCAACTGAAAACGTCACGTCTTTCAGTGCGCAACTTGATAGATCGCTGTCTTTTTGTGCCATGTCGTATCGAAAGAATACGTGATCGAAAACGACAGCACCAGTCGTAGGCCATTGAAGAGGAGCACTTAGGCGTTGCTGGACCCCCTTCTGTTCTATGTTTTCTTCAGGTGGAATATGCTGGAACTTTTTCAGGTTGGCAATGCTGAACATGTTGACCGAGCTGTTCAGGATCCCCACCGAGAACGAGACAAAGTCACGCTGAATACTGTAGATACAGTGAAGCATCAGACCCAGCGTGCTCGCTTGTAGTCCTCCATGTGTCAGAAGAAGAGCTAAACAGAACAAGAAGACCGCTACCAAAAGGCTGCATCGAATATACAGCCAATGAGTAAACACCTCCACAACGGTGGCTATCCGTGATCTATCGTCAACCATTTTGCCGTGATGCAGACAAACACGCTCCACCTGGTCGGCTCCAAACGAGCGGATGACTGCAGCTCCGTCCAAAGTTTCTGAAACGAAATTCAGGTCTGCAGCCTCAAGTTCTGCTCTCAGCGAGTAAACCTGAGCAAATAGACGCTTGTCCACCATGCCTATGCACATGTACGCCGTCAGAGCCGCGAAAACTGCGCCTGTAACACCCAGCAGATAGCACATTATCCCTAATGCAGCCGCAATCGATACAGTACTTCGAAACAGAAACACCAAAGGGAACGACATCAACCCGTCGATCACTTGCATATCCGTCGAGTAACGCGCCAGGATTTCACCGATTGGAGTTTGATACAGCACAGACATGGGGGCACGGAGGAGGGACTGGGTCACGTCACTGAAGGTACTCTTAGCACGTCTGGAGAGCACATAAAAGATCACTGCAGAGCTAACAAGCAGAACAACGAACGCTGCGACGCTCAGCAAACCGTAGACGACCGTCGCTTTCCACATATCGACGTACGTCCACGTCATATTACTCCAGTGCACCAACCACAAGCTCTTCGCCACCTCCACGAGACCGTAAGTGACAAAGAGAGCGCAGGCGATTAGAGAAGAATTACGTCCACGACTCGGCCACCAAATCTCCTTTGCAACTCCATCCACTGTGTGCCGAGTCAAGTCACACTTAGGGATTAAAGCCACTTTCGACGCCGATCGACGGCCCCCGTGGAATATCCGTGTCCGAACCTCTTGAATCTGCTGGTTATCCATAGCAAATGGGGAGTACTCTTCGCCCGTATTCTCCTCGTTGCGACTAATGCGCCAGGGCGGAATATCTGCAAGCCGACGAGCACGACGGCTTGCGGTTCCTGTGGAAGTTGAAGAGGATCCACCGCGACAGGTCTCCGCCACTGAAGTTTCATTAACGTGCCACAAGCGATCAACAAAACCGGACTCCACGACTTCCGGGTTGTGCGTGGCAACAATAATTGTCTTGTAGCGAAGTAACTCCAGGAAACATTTCCGAAACACGTCGCTTTGTACAATGGCGTCGGCACTAGCCAATGGGCGATCAAGCAGATACACGTCTGCATCAGAATACAGAGTTCGGGCCAGAGCGATGCGAGATTTCTGGCCGCCAGAGAGGTTAATTCCTTTCGGTCCGACCATCGTGTCGTCTCCATCGGGCAAGCTCTCGAGGTCTTCCAACAAGCAACAGGCATCCAACACGCGATAGTACTTGGCTTCATAGAAAGGATACCCGAAAAGTACATTTTCTCTGATGCTCAGAGTCTGTAGCCATGGCTGCTCCGAACAATACGCGACCTTGTAGTGTGGTGACAGAAACACACTGCCCTTCACACAGGCAACGTCACCTAGGAATCCAGTCAGGAGCGTCGTCTTCCCGGCTCCAGCCTTTCCGTGGATCACTACAAGTTCCCCTGCATTCACACGCAGGTTGACATTGGCCAGAACCGTCGTGGGCGAATGGTATCCTACTGATAAATCTACATTCTCCATGACAGCCACAACACCATCAGGGTACGTCTTGCGCTCTGTCTCCTCTGTAGTCCCATCAGTCGTATCGATGGCGAATTTATCGCAATACCGGAGATAATGGCCGATTTTACGCAGTCCAACACGCCCGTCGATCATTACTCGGATGCCCATAATCAGTCCGTGCAGTTCAACTTGGACATGGTCGATCAAAATCAAAGCTGTGAACACCGTGGCAGGCGAGAAGAAACCTGCACGCGCAGCTAGGGATGTAAAAATCGCGACTGATGCGAACGCTGGTGCCTCCCACACACAGCAGTAGCGAAGAATTCGGAAGGCTGCTTCCCATAACTTCCTCTTCTCTTCTTTTCGTCTGGCTGACATGATCTTGGACAGGATTTTATCTTCCCACGCGTACAGTTTGATGGACTGGATCCCTTTAAAGCACTCGTTTACTGTGGCCAGCGTCTTGGCCCGTTTCTTGGTGTACCATTGCAGCATCCTGGCTGAAAGCGCCGTCAACACTGATAAGCCGCCTATGATGACAGCCAGAGACGACAGGATTACAGTCGCGCTTGTCTGTAACGTGTGGTGTAAGATGAAGAGCAGTACCGAGAGCTGAACAGTGGACGTCCACATGTCGTGGAATCGGATGAGCAGCCAGCTCAACTGTACGAGGTTGGACGAGTAGAGCGTGGCGATGGCGGCGATACTGGTGCTCGTGCCGTGACGGCCCTTAACTGGCCGTTGAACTGACTTGGCGAAGACTAGGAGACGGATAGAGGACACGACACGGAGCTGAGCCTTGAACATCCTGAAGCGCGCGTGGCGGTCGAACAACACGGCCAGCATGACGGCCACGTGGATACCTACCAGCAGCAGTAGCAGCTCCAGCACGGACCGGTGCTCGCTCTCGGGGTCCATGGCGGCTGTCAACAGTTTGAAGAGAAGTATAGGGACGCAACAGGCACTTATGGCCGAGCACAATCCTAGGCCACCACTGTACACGATGGCGCGCCACTCAGTGCGCAAGATGGCGGCCATCAGATCGCCGGTTGCAGTGTACGCGGCACGGAAGCGTCTCTCGGCCTGTTCCGACGTATTCTCGGGCTCAAGTGTCCATAGATCTTGAAGACGTAGGCGGCGCGCACCTCCGAGCGCCACGAGTGGCTCCACGAAGAGAAAGCCGAGGCGTGACAGCCAGGACGCTGAAGCCTCGTTAACCAGACACGGCCGGAGGTCTACGGAGGCGTTGGGAGGATATTCGGGGATGAAAGCGGCATTAACCTGTGCACCTGAATGCGACGAAGAAGATGAACGACGCCGCACTCGGCATCGTGCGCTGGATCCGACGCTAGTGCCTTCACCACCGCCGTCGAAGGTGCCATAGCGGTCCATGCTGGACGCATCATACGTCATACCACGAATTCAACTACGTTTTGTAATTCATATGCTGAATTAATTCGTATTTAGAGAAGTGAAGAACGGTATGATTATGTTGAAGTGAAACTTTGCTCCTGTGCTGGGCCAGGAGAACTCAATTGAAGTGTGCAGTCTTCGTCTCGTGAAGACTCTCGTTTGTGGGAGATTCAGTTGATACCCTACCGGGTGGAGGCGCGTTTGGTGAGCTCTGTGGACACCTATACTCTTCACATGGCTTGAGAATCCACCTGCACGGTGTCTTCACTCGACTAGCGTGAGCTGCGAAAATGCCACCTGGCTCGCCCTAAAACCCAAGATATCAACACATGAGCCACGCACTATGCGCCGTGGAACCGTTTGGCTGTGTCGGATGGTCAATTATTACTCCAGAGAGCAAAAAAAATATTCAGGATCATTTTACTTGCTGTGTTCTCTAAAAACACAGCAAGTAAAATGATCCTGAATATTTTAAACCCTGCAGCTCGAAGAGAGTGTATTTCGGTGTGCGTGACGATAGGTGGGATGCGTTGACGATGAGTGAGTGATCACTTCACAGCAAGGATGCAACTTGCAGCACTGCAATAAGGAGGTGAACTCTCCGACGTTCCGGATTGAAATCCGAAAGCTTCAACTGCTTGATATTTGCTGCGATACCATGCCATTAAACTCTGCGATGCCTGCAACTGCTGCTGCTCGGATTTTCTCCAAATAGACCCTATGGATGCAACGCGAACAGATAGCCTTCGGGGACTGGGAAAGCCGCCCAGATGGCGGATGCTTCACCTGCTGCGGTTCAATCCAATGCCAGCAACCTGGGGTGCTCCGCGAGCCAATCAAGGCTAGACTGTGCTTTGTAGGCGTAATCTGGCTTGGATTCGCTGCCTTGGGCATCCTTATGCTTTGCAGATGCTCGTCATCTCCCTGTGTCGCCGTCTTCACTCCCAAATTCGCGTCGTCCAACTCAATCAGCTGCTCCATTCTATCGCCTCCGGCACAAATGCCTCCACTTTCCTCGACGACAGAACACGTGAAGCCTTTCGTTCTTGTTCCGGTGAAGAGGAGTGATAGTGACACAAAATCTACTAAGGTCTGCCAAGATGGTTGGCTCGAGAAGGTTTTCGAACGTCAAGAAGTCGTAGAATCGGAGAAGAGAAAGCCGAAACACAAGCGGAACTTCATCCAGCGAACGTTGGGGAGTCTGACACACCACCACAATAAACCGGAGTGCGATTATGACAACCACAGCTACCAGGAGGAGTTACAGCAGTACATTGTAGAATCGTCCGCAAACCTGCGCTACGATGACGATGAGCCATTGGGCAGTTCGGATGAAGACACGTCCGACGAGGATTCTGATCCGGTGTCGATCTCTCCACGCAATGCCGAAATCATTGACTTTTCCGCTTCGATCGTGTCGATTTCTTCGGACATGATCGAGGAGTTCGTTAAACCACCCGTAGTCGTGCCTCGGAAGTATCGTACTCAAGATCGTCAAGGTGGTGTACTTGTGGCCGGGCATTACGTGCTGTTTACGAATTGGGCGTTCAAGCGGCAAATGCGACACATGGGTCGGTTGAGCCCGCTTCCTGAGCGCTGTGAAGCTCTGCTTCCATATATTGATGAAGCTGTTGAAGAGGTCTCCATTGGGGTATACTCTGGAAAGATCGTAGAGCTGTAAGGTAGTGTTTCTGTGGACTAGTGCGTGTACTTGTGCTAATTTATAAACAAGAACGACCGAGCGGAAGTCGCGTGAACGAAGTGCAACCTGATGATTTTTTTTTTTTTGGTCTGGTTCGAGAGTTTGGATGCCGTTCCAGTGCAAGACCAACTGAGAAGGGGCAATGGTTGACTGTGCTCCTTCACTTCTTTTTTTTTAACGCAAATCCAGTGATTTTTTTTCGAGTTTTTGTATCAAAAGAGCTCAACCGATATTCTCTACTATTGGCAACGTCAATAGAGAGAACATCAATACTGTAACTGGTTAACTTAACTCTAAACAACTATTTATCTGCCATTTCGCGTCTCAAGGGGAAACCTTGCGCGTAGCCACTGCACAAGATGATCGATAGCGTCCTCCTTTTGAGTATCCTCGAAGACGAAGTGGAAACCTCCATCAATCAACTTGAATTCCTTATCAAGATTCCCCATGGACGCAAAGAATCGGATGGCGGCCTGCTGATCGGAAACGCCATCGTTTGAGCCTGCAATGAAGAGCATCGGAATCGTACAGAACGCGCTGTCTGTTTGCGTTACGCGCTTGTCGTTCTGAAGTCGCTTGATGGCATTTAATGCCTCCGTTCCACTTCGCACAGTCATCTTTTCGATACATGTGAGCGGGTCATTCTTGAACGCTTCAAGGAACGCTGGATCTCTGCAGAATAAATCATGACTCACAGCAGGAACGATACGCGCCTTGGGGATAAACATCGCCAGCGGAAGCAGAGACTCAGCATACAGCAGCGGGTTCCACGTAACTCCTACCGTTGGTGCGGCCCAAACTGCAGCGTGGAATTTATGCTGAGCTGTGAGAACTGTGTGAATACCGACGAGTGACCCGAGCGAGGAACCGATAATAATCAACGGCGGCTCTGGTAACGCCACAAGCCTTGGATTCTGTCCGTGCGGGTGTCGAGGGTAGTGATACTTTCGCCAGTATCGAAGCGCATCGGTGTAAATAGAGCGCTTGGCGTACGTGATGAAGGCATTCGTATCATCCACAAGGTACTGAAAGTTGGTGATGTGTGCGCGCGTCTTGTGCTGGTCCAAGTCACTAGCCCCATGGTTTGCCAAGTCGTACGAGATGACACCGAAACCTTCTTTGCAGAGCTCCTTGTAAAGATCGATGTGGCGGCGACAGTGGCTACTGCTACCATGTATATAGAGAGCCACACCACGCACAGGCATCTTCTCTGGCGGGAAGAGTGCGAAGTAAAATAAAGACTGGCCTCGTCGGTTCTCAAACTTGCCTTCATATCGTCGGAATCGAAGCGGGATGTCTGTGTGGTTCGATGAAAACGAAGAGCTTGATGTCGAATTGGCAGGTGACGGTGATAACGACTCGGAAGAGGAGCTGAGCTCGGTGACGTCCAACGCCTCGTCGTCCATGAAGCGGATTGTTCTCTTGCGGTTCGAGTTCCCGACTTCCTTGATTCCAGTATCTGATAACTTGGTGCTCATGGGCATATGAATTCTCTCGGACATTCGAGAGGCAGGGCGGCTCCTCCCCCTCAATGTGTTCTTGACGTTCGGCTGACGGCGGCAGTTCGGCATCGTTTTCGAGACTGAGAGCCTCGACGGATGTTGGTCAACTGGGAGAAGCTGTGAATCGGTGGAGGGGGTAAGAGAAATCCGGCTACCCTTTGCGAAGGTCATTACGAAGCTCACCACATCACGCAAACCGGAGTGCAGATCTTCTTGGAGAGCCATAGAGGACAAAACCGTAGAGGAGTCGCCAAGCCGGTTCTTTGGAAGCGTTCTTTCAGGTGGTGCAGGCAGCAGATCTGGAGATCTCCAGCCAGAGGAGAAGATGATCGAACAACGAGAACGGGCTCTCTTGAGGCAATCGGTTCGAAAGAGCTGACTCAGCGAAAGCGCTGAAAACACTGCGACATTGGGACCTACCTGGACACCGTTCTTCCGCTACTTCTATAACATTTTGTAGTGTAGCACAGCTTGAAACCCCATACCTCCAGCTGGAGTTGCATCCGTTTTGACTCCATCCGTTCTCTGAGAAGACTTCTCGATGCCAGGTCAGCCGCCACCAGTGGACGATGGACTCCGTGCAGGAGACATTCGCAAGCACCACCGAGCCGGTTATTTCCCGATCCACAAAATCGGTTTCCTGCACGCCATCACGCTCGTCGTCACACCGGAGGGTTGCAAGATTCACCTTCGCGAAGGGCGTGTGCATTTCTTGTCGAGTCTTGTCGGACGGTGAGGAGGCCCAAAGACGTATGAATCGGTTTGGAGTGTACCTATCGGGTTCAGCATTGCCGCAGGTTCCATCAATGAGAATCGTTAAATGTTTGTTATTTTGTTAATGAACAGCGACTTCGACAAAGCTTATTAAAGCACGTGGTGGCAACACTTTCGTGGGGAAGTTAGTGCACCTGTGACTATGGGAACTCATGGAGTGACCTTCCCGCATATTCTGCAGTGAAGTGTGGATCATTTTCACAACGACAAGCATTAGAAGTCATGACCAGTTGTCATGGCTTCTAATGCGTTATGTGAATCCCATGCAGTTTACGTCGAAGTTCGATGGTCGACCAAGCGATTTCGCAAGACTGAACAGAGTTACTATTCTACCTTGCATTATTTCGTGTACATGTAGCATATTGTCTGTTAAGAAGCAGGTATTGCGCTGGCACTCCTCTAATTTTTGATTCTCGAAATTTTAGCTAACACGGACAGCGAAATTCCATAATTACAACGATGTCAATTCATACATGTACCGTATAGCACTTGTACATTTACATATTTGCAGATTGCGTACGCAGTAATTCGGCAGCTCTGAAATCAAGTTGTGCACAAATGTACGCGATCACAGCATGTTGATAGAATTGGTCTGGATGGTTTCGCCAGTTTTTAGTATTAATAGTTGCTAGCAAGCAGGGCTCCCGAAAAATCAATTGGTATCACAATAATTGCAATCAATGTAGCGTAATTATTGCTTCCAGCGATTTGGTTGGCTGAAAGCAATTATTTACTACAATGTAACACATTTAATTTATATACGGATATGACCGGTAACATGCTTGAGACCAGTCGATGAAATGAATGGCTACCAAGTTTTAAATGGCTTACAAGCCTTGTCGGGACTGCCCTCACAGTCATTCTACATTTGCAACGCTCTCTAACAAACAGATCGCTCAATTCTACTTTCGTCCAGTACTCGACGACCAGGAGGAGCCTATTCCTGCCTACTTTCGCTGCTGCTGCTCGGTTGTGCACCAACAGGCGCCACGGATTGGCTGGAGCAACCTGGCCCAGCACGTCAAGACTCAGCATCTTGACTACGCTGAGGTCATGCGTGCTACAGCCCCAGTCGCTACCGGTACTCTCGCACCGTGGAATCGCGAGCACAGCCTGAACGTGTTCGGCTGGATGAGCTGAATCATCAAGAGCAATTTTCGTCTTCATTTTTGCGAGGACGCAGAAACACGCATGTAATTTTTTGAGTTTCTAATCTGTTGGTTTTAGCTGTGTACTCTGACTTTGTGTTGCTGTAGATCACTAATCTATGGTGCATCAAGCCAAGAGACGCTGTACAACGGGTTAGAGAGCGTGACGCGTCACATAGAGGCGGCAATCAAGGCCGACACGCCGAAGCGGCTTGATAATCAACGGGTGGTCGTTTAACTAGGAGCACTATCTGGCCGTGTTCGGTTGCTTTGAAAAAGCGGGAATAGCACAATACCCGCTGCTGGTCATGGCACCGCTGGTGAACTCCCCAACGGATGACCACTCCGTAGCGACCCACCTGACGTTTCTACGAGAGATGCTGATGCGCGACTACAACAAGCGTGTAGATGACTACCTGTTTATTGTGGGAGACAACTGCTACACTAATCAGCGCCTTGATAACCTCTTGAGTGTGTCACTGGTCGGCGGTGCAAGCCACCGCCTGAATCTGGCGGTGCAGAACTTTTTCCGTGAAGTATCGGACGATTTAGACAAAGTCAAGTCGCTGATGGTCAAACTGAAGAGTTTAAACCAATCCTCAAACCTCAGGTAATTTTTAACGATTTTTGTCCAATGATTGCACGTTAACTTTGTTAACTCCGTTTTAGGTTCAAAGCTCCATTGAGGCCCCTGCTAAGTCAGGACACTCGCTGGAGCTCCACGTTTTGTATGATCCATCGCAACTTTTGACTGCTGGAGTTCATTAAGGACGACGACGACCTAGTAGCCGACGACCTGCCCGATCCAGCTGCCAATCGCCGCTTGCGCAAGCTCCTGGAGGACCTGTCGAAAGTCGATTCTGTCAGCAAGGAGTTGCAGGCTTCTACGGTATCACTCCTGGACGCGCGTGTGTACTTCGATGGACGATTGGATTCGCTGCCTGCGCTGGTATCGCATATCGGTAATGCTACTCTTTGTATGTTTTCAATATTCGCACTAATACGCTTTCTATTTTGGTGCCCGAGCTGCGATTGTGCACTCGCTTCATTTTGAGGCTGCGTGTGTAAAAGTACTCGACGGCAAGACAGCAAAACTGACGAGGGCCGAGACTGCGTCTCTGCGCCGCTTTGCTGTCCAGCGTGAAGAGACTTCCGTTGCAGCAGCGGTTGACGATGC